TCTGAAAACCCATGTTTTTTTTGTCTTTGTTGAACTATTCTACACTGGTTAAAGAATCCTCCCTAGACATATTTCTTCTTGCTCTAATAAATTCCCCCACATGGCTGGACTTTATTGTGTAGGATGGATGACAGCTCGATGTTAATAGTAGTGTATTACCTGAAACGTCTTTAGGAAAGGTTCTAGTGTCCACTCTACCAGACTGACAATCCCTTGCCAAAGTGATGTCCAGAAAATCAATGGAAATGATGTTACTACTGTGGTGAAAAATGAAGGTTCATGTTGTTGGAATTCAAATACTCTACAAAGGAGCTCAGCTCCAACTGGTTCTAAATGAATTTGTATGGGAAAATAGAGCCTGCTTCTCCCACCTCCCCATGTTCAAATTGGCCAATGATGGAGATAATAGATACTCTGCAACCTTGTAGATAAAATGAATTATCAAAATTAAGTAATTATGTTTAAACAAAAGTGCATAGTTCCTTCCTCATAGTCCTTAATATCCCTTAAGTATTTTATACTTTTGGTTTCCGTTATTTCCTGTTCCATCTTTTTTATAACAGAAACAAGCTGGGAGTATAACAGAGCAAAACTGGGGAGTGATTTATACTGTTGTATGGATTCCATAAGGGAACTCACATCCTCATTGATCATTTGTAAAACTTCCTCCTCATATCTTACAATAGGTCACTGCAAATTCAGAGAACAATTGATCAGTATATTCTGCAATTCCAACAAAAACCCATTTGAATATACAATAGTTGTGTTTTTTTTAATCCTCAAGCCCCTGGGGATCATAGATTATCCTATATATTGATTAGTTCCCACCAAAGCTAAACTTCCTTTTCATTACAGACCAGTTTGTGCAAATGTACTTCTGTGTTGTGTTTCAGCTTATAAAGTGCCTGTGTCCCATGAATACACCTGTGTAAGTTTAATTAACCTCTTGTCCACATCAGATACAGGTCATGCAGCGTCTCTGTTAGAGACCACTGCATTTATACAAGGGGCCATTGTATGAATAATAAGACAGTTGTCACCTTACCTCACCAATCCCCATAGTGACGCAGTAACACATATATGTGGAGTCCAGGAGGTGGGCTTCAAACCTGGGGGTAGCATATTTGTGTTTGTGTATTTGTCCTGGGAGCATGCTGTACAGCAAGCTCCCAGCACAGAGATCGGGCTCTCACCATAAGCCCTGAGTCTTGTACTAACAATTTGGACCCAGAACTCTTGCTTCCTGGTTAGCTGATCACTGTGATACCCTCTAATCGGTCACTGTGATAGCTGTGATTAGTCACCATACAGCCTGTCCATTTTCTTTCTCTTCTAAATGGAGAGGAAGATACATTGTATATGCTACACATTGTATACATTACAGCAGTGGAATAAGGGTGGGGGCAGGGCGGACTGACAACTCATGGGGCCCCCGGGCAATAGGGGATCATGGGGCCCCTGTGTCCTTGCCCAAACTCAAAAAAGTCTATGAAAAGGGTATCATGGGCATCTTATGGGGCCCCCTACTGACCCCAGGCCCTCGGGCAGTGCCTGAGTTTCCAAATGGTCAGTACGCCCCTGGGTGGGGGTGATCAGAGCAGAGGGGGATGGGAAGCAGAGATACCAGACCTGACCCTCCTGTGGCTCCTCCTGCAGCACAGCTGGCTTCTACACCAGCTGTGCTGCACAGGGAGCCATAGGAGCATTGGTTCCAGGATCTGTGCCCCCCCCCCCCCACCTCCCTCTGATCACCCCCTTCTCCCTTCTGTCCGGTTTTCCCTCTGCTTAAAAAACATATATTTAATAGGCCACTCATTAATATTCAAAATGCCACAATCTCCCCAAATCCATGAGCATGGTAATATGCTCACAAGAGCTTGCATAGAGCTAATCTGAAAATACAGTAAAGTCCCACATCCTTGGCAACATGCAAAATGCTCTGAGAATTGCTCTGTAATGTCCATGCTTCATTGGCTGGCAGGCATCACATCCCAGATACTTGACTCTGTTCCTAAACATAAATAAATAACTTAATACATTAATTCAAGGGTTCTATTCACCTTGTTAATATTTTAAATTTAGTCAAATTATTCCTTCAAAATAAAATGATCAAAGTTCAAATATGTCTGACATAGCTAAATGTCCTATTTAAGATTCCATGCTATTTTTTCCCACCAAATATGCTGAAGATAAGAGATGTGATAAATAAGGGATATGATGGAGCACCCTTTCATTGCATTACATCCTGAACAGACAAACTGCAAAATAGGTCAGCCACAAGATTAGGACTGCATAAACGTAGGATGTGTGAAGTTTGAATGTACGCCCAATAGATTAAAATATTGGCTCTTTCTATGAAAATGTCCTTTCTTTTATTTTTACAAAAGCTGAAAAGCTCTGAAAAGAACATCAGTAAAATATTCAGGTTCAGTCATAACTGACAGACCATAACATTGCAGGAAATGAGCATATCTCCAACACAATATTTCTGATATTTTGTAATGTCAAACATCATTTTAAGGCTACAAAAAATAATACATCCTAATAACAGCAAGTCAAATACAATCTTAAGGGAACTGTGTAAGTAAATGATTACTAATACCACTTTTTATGATATTTTCGGGCAAACTATAAACACATTTTTTCATCAGCATAAACTTCATGAATGTTTCGATTATTTATGTTTATTTGCAACAGGATATGTCCCTATGTAACCAAGAAAATGGCTGCAGCTGGAAAGGGAAGCAATGCACAGACCACTTGGAGGGTCTGAGGAAAAGCAGGTGGCTATAGTACAGATTGATACTCATAGTAAACCCATGGAGAGAGTTTCAAAAACTATTTTAGGCATTTAAATCATAAAGCTAAATGTAGGACCTTTTAGAAATGGTCAAAACTTTGGAGTATTCCACTAGAATGTGGGGGGAGGATAAAGATGGGAGAATTACATTTTATGCAAACCTTTCTTGTAAAAAAAACAATTCAGTTTAAAATAGAAATGAAAGGCAAAACATTTGTGTATAGATATAAAAAACTATTTTAATACCTTTTTATTTCCTGTTCTGATCACATACCCTCTAAGCTCCTTATTCAGATAAGAACAGAGAGCTGGGGGAGGAAAAACAGCAACACACTGACCTTACCAGTGAATCGCTGTGCAGAGGAGCGTGTGAACACAAGTCTGATCACTGAGTTCCCAGCATAGCTAGTGAACTTATCACACTTTGCTCTCATGCCTAGTGTAGGTATTTTTTAATAGGAGAGCAGAGGGGCTGGCAGGAACGCCAGGGATTTCACACAAACGAAATACAAAGAGAACAGGATACTTTTTCCATACAAGTACATGGTAGAGCAGGCACATATCAGGAATATGAAATGTTGAGCTGATACAGTATACATGTTAGGCTAGGTGGAGGAGATTAACCACTATAGATGTAAACCTTTTTTTCCCTTCCCCACATAGCTCCAAAACATCAAATACATATTTTTTAATGGGACAGATATGGCTTTACTTTTATGGCAGGTTTGAATACCTGTATTTTTATAATATAGGTTTAATTAGAAAGAAATGGAAGGAAGTTTAAAAAATATCATTATTCTTATGTATCCAAAAAATATAATTGACAATGTCTTCTATATTCCCAAATACATTTTTTGTACGATGGCGGAATAATAAGGTAAAAAGACAGAGTTTGCTTTTGATTAAGGAGAGTTTTTTTTTCTTTCAACATTATAGGAATCAGGAACATAAATCTGCAAATTATTGTTCTAACATTTAAATTTGAACTATGGTCCACAGACACTTACCTTCATTTTCCAGCAATGCGACCATTAGATTTCTCACCAACCAATGACAACTTCTCCCATGGCTTTTTCAGGATGCTGGGTTTTTGGCTTCCTGATTGGCTAGTGAGAGGTGACACACAGTAACTGTTAATTGTACTTTATTATCTCTTGACTATGATGTGGTTAATATTAATAATAGTTCTTTGACCAAGAGTAAAAGCTTTAACACAGCAACCAAAATGTATTGGCGAATAGTATGGAGGTCTAAACTAACATATAGAAATAAATCTATTAACAGTAAAAAAAAGGAAAAATACAAGATTAAATGAAGAAATTATAGAATCATACGCATAATATTAATTCACAAACAGCAAGACAGACAACACATAAGACAAGCATGCAAGTGCCAGAGAGATGTCCTGATATTTACCAGCTGTGTAGCATGGGGGGGCCCTAGGATCCCCCAAGACCTAACCTGATATAGACCTGTCTCTCATAGACTTGCTTGGGGTCATCCCGATTGGTGGAATTATCTAATCCATCTACTATATCTGACACACCTAATCCAGGATTGGACAATTTCTCCATCCTCTATATTTAGCATAACTCAGCCCCTACCAGCACCTCCCATTTTGGAAGGAACATTAGTTATGTAGGGTCATAGCCTGGTAACTCCATCACTAAAACCTGAACTCTTGTTCTCATGTATCTGTATAGCATACCTATATTAAATCGATCTCTAATATTTCTAACCTTGCAACTTGTTTAAAATATAGTTATACAAATATCTATTTACAGTTTCTAATGGAGATTATACATAAACCCCTCATAAGGCAAAAGTGACTCTCACCATGGGCATAGGAGTCCTTCATTTCAGCAACATTGCAGTGTGCCAGGAATGTCCCCTGAGCATACGCAGCTCAGTGTACATTTAACAGAAGATTGCAAACAGGCAGTTACATTTGTCTGATTGCAAAAGAGATATAAAATTCCTACCTGCTCACAATATTTTTCAATTGTATATTTAATTCCACCTTAAGAAAAATAAATAAATAAATAGGACAGATCTATTTTTACATAGTTGCAATTACAAAATTTCTGTATGATATGGTGAACTGTTCTGTAAGTATTTAACACCCATGCAATCAAAGTAGATGCCATTCAGAGTTTTTGATGTATTTGTTGAAACCTGTGCATTAATAGGGAGGAGAGGTATCAACTTCTTATTTATTTTATTCAACTACACTATATTGCCAAAAGTATTGGGACACCTCTCCAAATCATTAGATTTAGGTGTTCCAAACCAATCATGGCCACAGGTGTATAAAATCAAGCACCTAGGCATGCAGACTGCTTCTACAAACATTTGTGAAAGAATGGGTCATGCAAGGATTCAACCTATGTCTGTAGCCCCCTTGTCCTCGTTATTTTCACCACCAGGCCTGGGAGAAATAAAGCTCCAACACCGAAGTGTGCAAGCTAAATGTCTGAAAGTTTAATGCATGACAAGAACGGTTATACAGAACTCAGTAGGCGTTGCTTAATCTAAGGATGACCAATGAAACATTCCATTCTTATCAATATAGTTACGTGAAGAACAGAAACTGCAGATAATTGAGGGATACCATATAAGGTAGTTCCATTTAGAGAAATGAAACTAATCTAAGGAAACGAGAGAAAAGTTACAAAATTGAAACTGTTCACATGTCTAGAAATGGAGGCATTATACAAAATGGATGCCAGTTAATCAGACATATTTCCTTACAGGTCACTCCCCGGAGCTCAGTGAATTCAAGTATAGTACCGTGATAGTTTGCCACCTGTGCAATAAGTCCATCCGTGAAATTTCCTTGCTACTAAATATTCCACAGTCAACTGTTAGTAGTATTATAACAAAGTGTAAGCAACTGAGAACAACAGCAACTCAGCCACGAAGTGGTAGGTCATGTAAAATGACAAAGCAGGGTTAACGCATGCTGAAGCACACAGTGTGCAGAAGTCGCCAACTGTCTGCACAGTCAATAGCTAAAGACCTCTAAACTTCGTGTGGCCTTCAGATTAGCACAACAGTGCATAGAGATCTTCATGGAATGGGTTTCCATGGCCGAGCAGCTGCATCCAAGCCTTACATCACCAAGTGCAATATAAAGCATCGGATGCAGTGGTGTAAAGCACACCGCCACTGGACTCTAGAGCAGTGGAGACGTAGCCAGGAGACCAGTACTTGCCTGACTGCATTGTGCCAAGTGTAAAGTTTGGTGGAGGGGGGATTATAGTGTGGGGTTGAGCTGGGCCCCTTAGTTCCAGTGAAGGGAACTCTTAAGGCATCATCATACCAAGACATTTTGGACAATTTCATGCTCACAACTTTGTGGGAACAGTTTGGGGATGGCCTCTTCCTGTCCCACCATGACTGCACATCAGTGCACAAGTCACATGCTTTGTTATCACTTAACCTACTGTCCTTATGTTTATTTCAATTTGTGCTGGCTGAGTTTACTTCCACTTTAATTTTAAAAAGGCCTATTTTATTTTTTTACAGTATTCTATTTATACTTTCTAAACACACTGTAGACTGACAAATGCATTATGCACATCTGATTATAAAAACTTATTTTGCTTGCTAATTCTACCACTACTACATCCACATAAACTCCTGCTATGGCACATTTGTGAGTCCCGGTGCCAGTTTAAAATGGTACTTGGATTGCAGTTTTTAGTTCACAAATGTTATTAAAAGCCTTTTGGTTTAAATGTCTATGGTTGGTCCTGGCAGGATAGGTTGATTGCTAGTAACAGCTCCTAAACCTCCAATCTGACTACAATACATGCTATAAATGCTTTTGCATGGTTGATACATGGGGAATACTGTTTTCATCCCTACGTTCATCAGGATTGTTTCTGAGCTCTGATGGACCCTGCAATGGTGATGTGTTATTTATTATCTATCTATCTTTGCTAGTAAAAATAAAGGTATATGTTAGTATTATTAGTAATTGAGTGCTGCAGCAATATACAGTATATTAATCTGGGACCATTTTGGCAACAGTTGCCATACTATTGTGGCTTACCTTTACTTTGTTTTTATCCATACAGAGTCAGTCTTCACAAACAAATAAACTTCCATTTTGACAGAGACTACATTTGATCTACTTAAGTAAATCATTCTTCTTCTACTACTCTGTGTTACCTGTCTGCTAATATGTTGGAAGAGAAAGTGAGGGTAAATCTCCATGACAGAACCTCAGGTGGCAGTAAAAACCAGACTGGGATTTTAACCGTTCTCCACTCTATTTTAAACTGAGAAAAGGTTTTGGCTGGATATACACTTTAACCCTCAGCACTTACCTTGCCCCCAACACTTAACATAACCCTAACCCAAATCTAATCCTGAAAAATAACCCATAAGATAACCTTAACTCCAAAACGTAACCTAATGCTTGATCTCCTGAAACATAACCCTATTCTTCATTACTAACAGAAATCCTCAATCCTTAACACCCACGTTAACCTACTCCATTACCTAACCCTTAATTTTAACCCCTACAATACTGGACTTCCATTATTAAAAATGAGAATATCAGTTCCGAATCCCCACAGCCCTGCCTTGAGCAAAATGGTGCCAAATCCAAATACTTTACAAGTCAGTATATATAAATATATCCAAGGTCAGTATAAATATTGGGCAATTTAAAGTGTAACTAAAGGCAAAACTTTTTTTTTAGTTTTGGATAGAGTGGAAAAGGGATTAGAACACCTGCTGCCAATTTGCATTGCTGTCTGTGCCCCCATTAGGGACATTCACCCCCTTTCTATTTGTGCTGTTTCCCTTTATCATCAAAAGTGAAAGTAAAAGAAAATCCCAAATTTTAAGTTGACATCAGAACACTAATAGAGGGGAGATCTTTCAATGGGAACATTGGTTCTTGTGACCTGGTGACACACCAGGATTGCCTCAATTTGGAGGGATTTCCTCTCTTTTCCATTTTGGATATGGGACAGGAAGTAAAGTGAAATCCCCCTAATAGGAAAAGAAAAAAACTAATGGTTGTAACCCTCCCTTACTCATCCAAAATCCAAAAAAAAAAAAAAAGTTTTGCCTTTAGTTATACTTTATTTATATTACGAGGATATTATGAAACATTGGATTTTCTTTTGTGAAATAGACAATGTTCCACCTTTATTAAAAGCAGTGTCTTAAATGATAAGTGTGGTTAAGCAGTGGAATGTTTTATAGCATGAGCTAAAATTACTGAAATCAACAGTGGAATATTAAAAAACACTGGGTGCTTTTATCACAACTAATAATATCAAAAGTTGTAATTTCAAAAATAATAAATGGACAGCGATCAATAGATGGGATTGCTCCAATCACTTTTGTGGGGTTATTTTGCAAGAAAAGATTAGCCACATAGGTTTTGGTTTACCTGTCTGTGGGTTCAAACTGCTTAAATTGGGAAGAAGTTGAATTTTATGATGTACTATGATGTAGAAACACTATTAAGTTAAATTGTTGCAGTCAAGAAATGAAACCAAAACTACAATTTTTAAAATAAAGTATAACTTATTTAGACAACAAAGGCATTAACTAATAAATATATACACTCAAAGTGTAAAAAAATTAAAAACGTAAGTTTCTAGTTTTGTTTAGGAGCTGCAGTTTTTGCTAAATTGCTATCTCTGGAGTCATTCAGATCATTGCTTCAATGTTCCCTCCAACCCTCTCTCCTTTCTCCACACCTAATTTAATCAAACTTCCTTATGACTTTAAAATTAATATGAACGCAGTATTCAAATTTCTTTTGTTTCAGAAAGGAGAGTAAATATACTTTTAAGATGTACAGCAGTTGCATTCTCCAATAAAATGGTTGTAAAAGCTGAAGGTTTTATACATTGATGCATTCTATGCATGAAGGTAAAACACATTCTGTGTGTATGACATGTTTGTTATTTTTTTTAATGAACCTTTAGAATCACTTTAACATTAGGGCAAAGAAATTACCAGGAGGTCAGTTTAGTATTCTTCTATTAGTGTTTGGTATTTTTATTATTGTACAATATTTGCTAAACTTAGCTATTACGCTTTTTTTTTTTTACAAATAAATGAAAAAACTATCATAAAGACCAATTAAACATATTGTATGCATAATGGCATATTTTCCATATTTATTTTTCATGTACATTATTTCATATACTGTATGTTTCAATATTTTTATATTTAGCATAAAAGTGTATTCAAAACATTATTGCTTTATCACTCTCTAAAAACTGCTTTCTTAAACTTACTTTATTTAAACTTAAACTTTTACTTTAACTTAAACGTACTTTAACTATGGAAAAGCCATTGAGGTGATGATAAACAGAGTTTAATGGGTTAAAATTACCTTCCCTGAAAACAAAATCAGTGGTACAAAAAAGCTATTTCATGTGAAAAAATAATGACTGCATACCTGAGTTAAATGGACAAGGCTTACAGTTGTAGCAGCCATATTTTTAGCTTACCCTCATTTTCATTTCTCCTAAATGGCTGTGTACTAAGATATATCTAATGTTCTTTGCTCATACCATTATGCTTGGATTTGGTAGTAGGAAGGATTTCAAATCTTAGTCTTTCAAAAGAATGGCCAGTACTTTCAGAAAATAATAATGATATCTGGTCCAACTGTGTCTGGCATATGCCTATCATTTGAAACAGGTTTTATTCTTTCCATTTTTGAGATGTGAGTAGAATCTCTTTGGTTCTAGTTTTTGTGTTTATGTAGGGATTTTTCCAATGACAGTTTAAATATGTCACCAATTAATTTCCTGAATATTTCCATTCCAGTTTATTTTGCTCTTTGAAGGCATTTGTATAATGTTTATCCATGTCAAGTAAACTAATGGTACTTGTTTTGTGTATATTTGTACTTACATAGTTACAGGTAAGTTAGGTTGAACACAAGTCCATCTAGTTCAACCAATATAAAAAAGCACAAACAAAGCGTAAGCTTGGGTTTACCAATTTATCTTTATAATTTAAAGGATACGTTCATCTTTCTGAACATTTTAACATGTAAAGGATGTAACATGTTCAGCTTCCACCACCTCATCCCCTGATCCCTCTTCCCTGTGACAGTGGGCGGGGGAACATCTCCCTGCATCCACTGTCACAATTTGAAAACAGAGAATGAACTACAATAACAGTCATTCATTGAGGCAGATGGCTTGTACCTCTCTATTGGAGGTACAGGCAGGCAGCTATCCAGACAGTCTGCATGAGCCTGGCATTGCACCCACAATCTGTTTATTGCAGGTGCAATGCTTTACAGCCTACTAAGAAAAAAAAAATAAACAAACTTTTTTTACCTGCAAATAATGTGCATGTATTATTTTATTTAGGTGAACTTAGTCTTTAACCGCTTAATGACTGCCCTATAGCAGAAACACTGCTACAGGGCAGCACCTGTGTGCAAAATCACATGGCCGCGGATGTCAGTCACCGGGTCGCGCTCGGTAATTACCCACCAGCACCCGGTGATTACCGACAATCACTGACGGGGTGGAAGACTGTTTTGTTTACAGTCTTCCTCCCTGTTAGCTCGGGCAATGCTTGTAGTAAAGCACACATACACCGCCCCCTAGTAAAACACTCCCAGCACACAGTTAACCCTTTGATCACCCTTATGTTAACCCCTCCCTGCCCAGTGCCATTAGTACAGTGTCAGTGCATTTTTTTTTGAGGATGTTAGTGACACCAAGTTAGTTCCCCCCCAGTGTCAGAATTTCCGCCGCAGTCCCACAGTCCCACTAAAAGTCACTGATCACCACCATTACTAGTAGAAAATAAAAATCCCAGTATCTATACCACCATTTGTAAACGCTATAACTTGCACGTAAACTAATTAATGTACACATATTGGGATTTTTTATAGCAAAGACATATAGCAGAATACTTTTTGTCCTAAATTTATGATGAAATTTTATTTTTTAAATTTTTTTACTGGACATGTTAATAGCAAAAAGTCCAAAATATTGTTTTTTTCTCACAATTGCCTGTCTTTTTTTGCTTATAGCGCAAAAAATAAAAACCGAACAGGTGATGAAATACCACCAAAAGAAATCTCAATTCGTGCGAATTCATTTGGGTGCAGTGTTGCATGACCGCGCAATTGTCAGTTAAAGTAACGCAGCACCGTAACGCAAAAAATGTCCTG